GCCTGTACGTTTTCATGTTAAAATATGGTCTGTATAGTCTATTGATTCATTTCTGTTGAAACATCAGAGGAATGATCATTCATGGATAAAATCAGGAGGGATTTGAAACTGTAGTTATGATACACTCACTTTGGCATAATCCAGTGGCAGATGGTCCTCTGGGCACTTGAACACACCTTCACTATTAAAAGAAAAGTTATATTGCATGTTAGCATGTTATCAATGAAAAATCACCATGATGACTTTGTCTTGTTCACATAACGGAAAGCGACACATGAATGTGTTCGAATTTCATTTGCTTTCGATTTATTTCTACATTATATGTTGTGGGTTGAAAAGCAGTTCACAACTGTCTCTCTGACTGATGCCTCCATGTTACAAAGCCTGAATGAATCACGGCCAAACTGATTTGACAGGAACTTCAGAATCACCTCCCACACCACAAACTGATGGAGAGCCTTCAGGAGAGAGTGAGTGAATCATCCATCTGGGATGGTGACGCCCCCCAGCATACATAATATGAGGAAGCAGTATAATCAACACATCCAATATTAATAGAGCTGTGATCTTTCCATTACGTGTGACACAGAAGCACATCATCATTTCAAAATCCTATGGGGAATTTTCCCCAAAAGTCCCATGGGGCTTCATAAGAAGGTGGAAAATGTGATAGCTGCATTTTTGAGGTGTCATGCTCAGATTTTTTAATCAAATAGATGCAACTTCTATTAAATAACCCTTATTTTGATTGAAAGCATATTTTAAAAAACAGTTTTCTATTTTAGTGTAAAGAGTTCACATGCAAATTGGTGCCATCTGAAATTTTCTTCAAGAATGCTAATTTTTATCAAGCAAGCTAATATATTAAGTTCGTTGGTGGAAGAATGTGAACGAACGTGCAGAACTGCTTGTGTTTCAGCGCGTGCGGATGGAAAAATAAACACACATAACATTTCTCTGCCGACTGTCTCTCCGTGCTTCAACTCTCAATGTACACAACACAAGTGCTCTTGATGTAAAACGCAATGACATGATATGGCGGCTTGACAGTCTCGGTCCCATATCATAAATTATTTTAATTAGTTAATGTTTCTGAATTTATTTGACATTTTGACTTTTTGTGTTTTTTGAGGACTGGTCAGGATCATTTTAATCATTTGTGGCTGGATGACATGGGGGTGAATAAATTATCAGCAAAAGTTTTTTTAAAAGTGAACTACTCCTTTAAAGTAGCAGTAAAGTGTATTACAGCAGGTGCATTAGAGTATTGTAGGAATACACTAAAGTACTTAAGTACGGAAGCTAATTATTTTAGTTGATAAAGTTTTAAATATGGATATTTTTCGCTTCAGACGGCATTTATCCCCAGAGCCCTGTGGAGAACTTTTATCATGGATGGACTAAACTAAAGTACATGAAGTACAAAATTACTTGTTCCAATTTAGCAGACTTTATACCAGTTTAGTATAATTATATAGTTATAGTGTAGTATACTTAGCATAAAATAAATGTATACAAAATGTATTTTTCATTAGTGTTATCTTGACAAGGGCACTGAATGAGTCAGAACTGCAAATTGAGCCCCTATAAAAGTAGGTGCATCATACCCTTCAGGCAGATGCATGCTATATCATGTTAAAAAATGTTGATGACATGTATGAAACATACTGTTCCTAACAGTACTGCTATTATAGGTAAGAGAGCAGATCCAAGACTCTTTCTTGGTCAAACTTTAAACCACTGACTGCATGCAATTTAATCCACGGATTTACATTTGAATAAGTAATTCGTTTAAAAAGAATAGTCTAATTGAAAAGCATGTGTTAGTCCGATAGAATGTGAATGGACGAGACTGTCCATGATCACTGATAACAGATAACACACAGGACAATGAATGTGATTGTTCCAGTCATTACATGTGAGCAACACAACTCTGTATTTTGACTATGTGAATGAGAAGACAAGGCATGGAATGCAAAGAATGGGTCATAACCCAAAACTGCACTGGCTTACAGTTGAGTAATACTTCCAAATAAACTTTCCTTTCACATTCAATACTTTTGGTTTTTCAAATGGGGATCACAAAACTTCTCAAAAAAATATCAGAAGCATTCTGCAGTATTTTGATTATGCTATAATCTCTTACATTTAAAAAAAAAAACATGTCATTTTATGTAAACGTTACTTATATTGACAGAAAGACTGAGCATCTGTAGACTGAGGGATTTTGTGTCACTGTCATCTTGCTTGGCCAGTTTGATGTTTGTTTATTACTACGCTGTCATTGGAGTAATTTTTAAGTGATGATACTTCATGTAGTCAAAGAGAAATGTACAGAGAACAAGGCCAGATCTATTAAATTATTTAAAATATACATTAAAAATGCAGATGGTGAGTAATAATAATATGCCTGCATTTCTGAACCTTTTTGTGGAAACCATGATAGAAAATTTTCAGGACTCAAAAGAACAGCATCTATTTGAAATAGAAACATTTCATAACATTAAAAAGGTCTTTACTGTAACGTTACTTTAACTTAATGCAACCTTGAATAAAACTCTGACTGACACAAATATTTTGACAGTAGTATATACCTTTAAAAAATGATTAAAATGATTCTTATTTAGCCTAATTGTTATGAATTAGCCTACTTTTACTACTACAACTACTAGCTATTAGCCCATATTTATCTTGTTGGTGTTGTTGTTTTTTTAGTTATTCATCAATGACCCAGATTATAGCCCATTATATTATGTCCATTTAGTGTTTTACAGAGATCTCATCGAGCTTCAGTTCACATGATTACAGTGCGAATGTTAAGAAATAACGTTGGCATACTAAAAGGCAAGCGGCCACAGTTTGAGCTTTCTTTCGTCGGACAGGTGTGGCGTTTCTTTAGGTTGAGAAGCAGTTACCTGAGATACTCCTGCAGACAGGTGTCACAGAATCTGTGTCCGCAGGTGGACACCTGCACCGGGTCCCTCATCGGCTTATCACACAGAGGACAATACAACCTCCTCCTCGGTCTCTCCAGAAACTTCAAATCTAAACCGGGCATAATAGCCTACCTTTGTTTACGATATCAACTTCAGACTGTAAACTGATAAACTGCGCGAAAAAAACTTTACAAATAATCTTAGTGCAGAGATGAAGAATCCTTTTGGTAGGTTCAAATCCCACAGTAAAAAAGTATCGGTCTATCATGACATTTCCGTCTTCTTCAGCACAGCCAGTAAAGCACAGGGGAACGTTCACTCTCTCCAACTGTCAGTCTGCTCTTCTGCCCCGCCCACCGGCGCCAGGGGGGGGAGGAGCCACGAGCAGTGTTTGTTGCTCTAAAAATAATTCGTAAATTTTTCATGTTTATGTTTTTATGTTAAAGTTTTAGTCATTTATATTATTATATTACTTATTCTAGTACATCAAAGAAAATGAGAAATGTTGTTTTTATTAATATTTTGATGTAGTTTTAATTTTAACTTTTCCCTATTAATTTTAATGTTTAGTCATTTTGTTGTGTTTTTTATAAGTTCTGTTTTTTTAATAATGTTTTTAAAGTTAATTAAAGCTATATTATATATATTAGTGCTGTCAAATCGATTAATCAAGATTATCGCATCTAACGTAAAAGTATATATATAACTTTTATGTAAACAACTTATATGTAAACAACACTGGTCCAGAAACACTTCCTGTTTCAGTTTGTAACTGTTTTCTTTATTTTCCATGTAAAGAAAAAAAATCTTAAAGATATTTGTTTAACTTTTTGATTCAGTTTTATATGTTCTGTTGGTTGTATTTTATCCCAGCTTTTATGTAGTGTTAAAAAACTGAAACAGGAAGTGCTTCTGGACCAGTTTTGTTTACATCTTGCAAAATGGTCTATATATATATATATATATATATATATATATATATATATATATACAGTATATATATATATATATATATATATATATATATATATATACGTACACACACAAATCACGTAAATATAAAAGTCTGTAAATATATTTGTGTATACGTTGTTTATAGGTATATATATATATATATATATATAAAATGCACACACACACACACACACACATACATACAAACTTTTATGTTAGATGCAATTAATCACCACTAATACACACACACACACACACACACATATAGATATATATATATATAGATAGTTTCAATTTCCTAAAATAACCCTGAACATAATAACCCCAATTTAAGATTGAAACAGTGTGTCATGCTTAACAAAATCACGAGACCAAGACACCGATGAACAAAAGATCTTTTCTCCTCCCCCGTTCACCTGTTCTACAGTATTTGCAAAACAGCCTCAGTGTTGATGTTGATATTTGATACCTCAAAACCTACATAGTCAAATGGTAGAAAAACATATCTCAACAGTGAGAAGAATCACGTGGGCTTTTTATTTACTATATATGAATACACCCTTACAGTGTTTACTTAAAGTGTATCTTCAGTACTGAATCTTGTCTTACTAGAGTGTGTAAATGTAGACACTTTTCGGCAGTTTCATCGAAACAGGTCACATGCTGCAGAACCAGTTTTACTTCCTCGTTCCACAAAGCCATATTGGTTGACCTTAGACTCCTTGAATAGGCCGTATCAGTAGTAAAAAGCACAGAGCGTGTTCAGTCGATCTGCGTTAAACTCCATGTTAACGCCTCGTCATTAAATGCTATTGTGACTCTTGTACAACCCTTCACAGAAAACTGATGAGTGACTGAAAAGTGCTTTTGTTTACATTTAAAAATGATTCATTTTAGTTAATGTGTCAGTGTGTCGATTTAATTGGAGTCATCCAGAAGGAGGACAAGTGAGCATTTGTGTACTTGTGTAGGAGGGCAACAAAGAGCCGGATAAAGGATAGAAGAATAAAACGCACGCAGAAGCCATGACAAACATGACAGACATTCTTCCACTTGCTCGCAGCCAGTGAGATGACAGAAGCTACACAATTAAACCAGAAAACACACATGCAGCTGTGTAAAAACAAGTTTATTGTTGCATTAAAAAAAATTTCTGTCATAAAAGTCTCTCATAATCTAAGGCATTGATTACTATAACTAAAAATGCTTTGATCCTTCAGATACAGAACATACAAACTTCAGCATAATTATTAGAGTGAAACGGTTGTCAGATATTGTAGAAATATTATTAGCAACGGTGCAGTAGGTCTGCTTTCTTAAAGATATTAGTTCACCAAAATCAGCGGGTGCAAACCCCTATGTATTCAACATTCCTTCATTTGTGTTTTATAGAAAAAGGAAAGACAAACTGGTTTGGGGCATCATGTGAGTGAGTAAATGATGATAGAATGAAACGAATGATGAAACATAACGATGTATTCTGTATTATATTAATACAATAATACAAAATATTATTATCATTATTATAATATTTTCGTCATATGAAACAATTCTTCATAAATAAATCTTCATTTAGACTTGAAATGTGCATTTGTTTAAAATGCTGGACATCTTATTGAAAATACATGTAAACGCATAATTAGTGTGTTTATATATTGCTTAAGAAAAAAATGAAATCTACTCTGAGTGACCTTAATTTCCTTCATTTAAAATATCTCAGCATAAAAAAGTGTATTTTAAAATAAACACTGATTAAAGTGCTTCATATATTATAATTAGTATTAAAACTGCATGTTAGTTTAAATGACCAAAAATGCAGAATTGTCAAAAATGATTAAATAAATCATGGCCATAATAAAACGAAGGCAAAGGAGAGAAGCAGCATTTCAGCGGGAGTTTTCCCACCATCTGACCCAGCTCTTCTGAGTGGACATTCGATTTCTTCATATCATTCACATTCTTAATCAGTATAGTTTATCTGTAAAAACAACAAGAAGAGACTGTCAGAAAATGTTCATGAGGGACTTCAACCAAAAACTGAAGCTCTGAAATATGATTGGATTTGGATGAGACATGTGATTCGGTTTTATTAAAAAAAAAAAAGGTTAATATTATAAGCATTTTTACATGTACAGTGTAATAAAATACTATAAAATAATATACAAATATTTAAAAAAAAATCACGTTAAATCATTTAACATGACCTATTACTATATATATATATATATATATATATATATATATATATATATATATATAGTAGGATGTTGAGGACATATTCATTGAACTCTGCTGCCTTTTAATTATATATATATATATATATATATATATATATATATATTTAATATAATTATATTATTTATTTTTTATATATATATATATATATATATATATATATATATTTATAATCAGTTGGTGGAAGAATTTATTATTTTGATTATTATTATTAGTAATCAATTCTATTGATCATTGGTGTATTCAATTATATATATATATATATATATATATATATATATATGATAGAATTATATATATAGTAGGATGTTGAGAATTTATTCATTGAACTCTGGTGTCTTTTAATTATTTATACATATATATATTGTGTTAATAACAATCAGTTGGTGGAACAATTTATTATTTTGATTATTATTATTAGTAATCAATTCTATTGATCATTGGTGTATTCAATTATAGTAGTATTGTTAGTATAGTATCAATATATTTTATATGTATAATAATATCTATATAAAATATAATACAGTATATTAAATATTACAAAACATTGTGTTTGTGTGTGTGTATATTGTATAAATAAAAATGATACTGTAAAAAAGTGTAATAAAAAGTGTATACTTCTATATTTATATATAAAAAAAGGTTAATATTCTAAAAAAATTTACATGTACAGTGTAATAAAATACTATAATCTAATATAAAAATGTTTTAAAAATCATCTTAAATCACCTATATATATATATATATATATATATAGTAGGATGTTAAGGAATTGTATAAATACATTGTATTCATTGAACTCTGGTGTCTTTTAATTATAATTATACATATATATACACTGTATATTGTGTTGATAAAAATCAGTTGGTGGAAGAATTTATTATTTTGATTATTATTATTAGTAATCAATTCTATTGATCATTGGTGTATTCAATTATAGTAGTATTGTTAGTATAGTATCAATATATTTTATATGTATAATAATATCTATATAAAATATAATACAGTATATTAAATATTACAAAACATTGTGTGTGTGTGTGTATACTGAATAAATAAAAATTATACTGTAAAAAAGTGTAAAAAAAAAGGTGTATACTTATTTATATATACAAAAACAAATCCATAAAATACTAAATGATATCAAATGACTTACATAAAAAATCTATGGTGATAGTTCACATGATGGTCTGTTACCTGTAAAATCACTGCAACAAAGACGGCCAGCAGAGCCAGCAGCGCCATGCGGCCCAGACTGCCAAAGTCGACGTGTTTGAGGATGAAAAAGCGTGCCCAGCCCAGCTTGTCTGCTGTATGTGGTGGATAACGCATCTTATTCACCCCCTCCATCTTCAGCTGTTTGATCAGACAGCCCCGCAAGTGGCTCAAGTGATCAAACCCGTACTTCCCATGATAGCAGCCCATCCCACTGTTACCTGCAGGGGGAGTCCAAGAGCTGAGCTACAGTACAGTCCACACATCCATCCAAACATCACATGCATGCTTCTGCACCTTCTTCAGTATGGAATGAATAATTCAAAATAAATAAATAAATACATGAATAAATACACTAAGAAATGTAAAAAAGCAAAAATACATAAATAAATACATAAAAAAAATATACAAAGAAATGAGTATTTATACTTTCATACCCTTATTGTATATTGTTGTATTTTTTCACACATTTATTCATTTGTTTATTTATACATATATTCATTTATTTATTTCCACATTCATTATTTCATTATATTCCTGATTATTTATTTTCATTTATGTATTTATTTCTCCGTATGCTAATGAGGGAGGCGTGTTTTAACTCAGACATCAGCAATCGAGCTCAGAGTGGCAGTGCTGAAGCTTTGAGGCCACAGTGATGGATAGGGCTGATATATTTATTTATGTATTTTTGCTTTTTTTTTTTTTTTTTTTTACCTTTCTTCGTATATTTATTTATGTATTTATTTATTTTTAATTAAGTCAGCTTTGGCTTTCCATACTTCAGAGACTCTCCGAAAAACAAAAGAAGGAACTCACCAACTCCACCAAACGGCAAAGAGCTTACTGAGAAGTGCATCAAACAGTCATTGGCCAACACTCCACCACTAGAGGTCTCCGCTATCATACGCTTGATCAGCTGTGATGAAAGAACAGATCAGTACAATTGTCTTAAGCAGAACGTGATTTTTCTCTATATCATGAATGAATGATCAGTTCAAACCTTGTTGTCTGAAGAGAAGATGTACAAGACAAGGGGCTTCTCTCTCTGGTTGATGAATTTGATGGCTTCATCTACACCGCTCACTGTCAGGACGGGTAACAGTGGCCCGAAGATCTCATCCTGCATCACCTTGGCATCCGGCTTCACGTCCCTTAAAACTGTAGGAGCTGTGAAGAGATGCACGTTGAAAAGTTATAAAAAGTGTTTCATTTTCTTCTGAAAAGGATTCTAGCGACTTAGCTTCAGCAATGCAGCTAAAGTTTACCAATGTAGCACTCTGACTCGTCGTTTTCACCCCCCACAGCGACGCTGCTGCCCTCAAGCAACGCCATCAGTCTCTTGAAGTGGCGCTCATTGATGATGCGTCCATAATCCTGACATTTTTTGGGGTCTTCGGTATAGAAATCCTGATCATCACAAATGAAAGCATGTATTAACTCATTTGACATTTTATACTTTATAGAATGATAAATAGTGAAAGATTTCATATATATATATATATATATATATATATATATATATGAAATTGAATCATTTTCATCCAAATAAAATCTTTTTATTGGCTTATTTGCACTTTTTATTTAGACTTCACTAATTGCTACAAATTGCCAATACATTCATATGAATGAATATATATATATATATATATATATATATATACAGTCTTTATATATATTTATATATATATATATATATACAGTCGTTATATATATATATATATAATATGTAAATCAAATGAATCAGTTTCAGAATCTTTTGATTTTTTCCTAATACAGTATATACTAGTAATCCATAACTGAAACTTTTCATCATTAGCCTTCTAATAAAAATAACTTTTGGTAACACTTTACAATAATATTCAATATTTTAATGATAGTTAATGCATAATATTTCAACAACTAACTATGAGAAATAATTGATCTCAATTAAACATTTGTTATCAAATTTATTGTTAATTTAGAAATATGCTATTGTTAGTTCATGTTAGTTTGAAATGCATTTACTCTTAACATTTGCACATTGAAATGCTGAAATGTATCAATATAAATGAACTGTCATTCACAAATAACCTCCTACATACATACTTTAATATTCTTCTTGATCTCTTCGATCACTCTGTCTTGTATACTGGGGTCACACAGTATGTAGTCCGGAGCGATGCAGGTCTGACCACAGTTTGAATACTTCCCCCATGCAATACGCCTGTAATGTCACAGAGAACATGTATTCAAAGTCATTGCATACAAACAATCAGTGGCGTTGGTTCCGGAAGTATTTTTTCCATTCATTTCTCCCATAAGTCTTAGTTAAACTGTTATAAGCCATGAACCAAGCCAATCAGCTACGAGGTGAATCATAACATTTCAAACTTTTTGATTTGAAGCAAAAGTATTTGAAAATCAGACAAAAATTCAAAGGTAAAAGACTGTGTACTTCACAACTTTAGTGAAAGAAAGAACAGTGAACAAATTAAAAACAATTGAGAAATAAAAATATACTAATTGACAATGTATATACAACAATATATTTTACGTTTATTGCAAGTTTAATGCAAAATATGCATACTATATTACGTCATTTGCGGAGCATCCTGGGATTGGACGGAGCTAACGAGATCTATTGGTTTGTTTTACTTCTTACGACTCTGATTGGTGGAATTTTCTGTACAGCATCATGGGTAATGTAGTTCTTCACCACGAATTTTGCTGTTAAAGGAATAGTTCACTTCTTGAAAAGTTCACAATTTAAATTCTGTCATCATTTACTCACCCTCACGTTTTTTCAAGCCTGTATGAATATCTTTCTTCTGCTGAAGATATTTTGAAGAATGAACATCATTTAATGAGTAAATGATGACAGAATTTTCATTTTTAAGTAAATTATTCCTTTATACACGATTGTTTTAAAACTAAGTTTGTAATAATGTGGGCTAACGGCTTCAACATGAGCAAATACTCGATTTTTTTACTCGAAATTGTCGATTAATTTAGGTTTTTTAGTTGTCCCTATGAATTTTTCGACTGTTGTGAATGGACTGACCGGCATGCGACGGCAAGATCACAGTTGTTGTCGATGTAGCACGGGCTCTTTCCGCCCAGCTCCAGAGTGGACGGGGTTAGGTGTTTCGCAGCAGCCTCCATGATGATTTTACCCACGGTCCCGTTCCCGGTGTAGAAGATGTGATCGAACCGCTGCTTGAGCAGCTCTTGGGTCTCTGACACCCCACCGGCGACGACAGGGTACAACTCCTGAGATCAGCACCATCAGTATGAATACATTACACTGTATACTAATTCAAATGCATAGTTAGGGTTACTATCCTTTTTATTTGGTTCATTTAAATTACAAACCAGTTTGTTTTAGAAATGTATGAAAGAAATCTTACTTTGTCCAGGTACAGTGGTAAGAGATCCTCCATTACTTTGGAAGTGTGAGAACTGACCTCAGATGGCTTGATCACAGCTGCATTACCTGTCAAATAACATTTAATTATAATATGACAAAATTATTATCAATTTTCTTAAATATTGACAGGCGTTTTGTATCTCCACATGTTAACTTAGTAACACCCACTGATCTATATAAAGTATAGACTATATATATCATAAAAAATATGATTAACAACTTCAAATTGATCTGTTTTGCAAAGTAAACGTGACAACATTCTTCAAGACAGACAGAAGGATAAACGCTGAAGCTATCTCTGTAGATAGTGAGTTCAAACGAGTTACAGCATTTTTTTAAACTTGCAAATAATGTGCATAAGTCAATTCATGCATTATTCCTAAAATGGGACAATAAATAAATAAGCAGTTTTCAAATCTAAGGTATTTCTAGAGGTTATTTTTTGCATGTGCCGGCATTGTTGATAGTGACTAAGGGAAAGGGACAGTAATGTACTTTGGTCTGTTAACAGAGGGCAGTTTCACATATGTAGGACAAAGTGCAGTGTAACAGAGTTATCCTTAAATGTGCTCTTCATTCATGTTACTATAATGTTTTCTTTTTCCCAATCACACAACAGAAACTGAGGAGGAGATGTCAAACCCATTGTTCAGACAAATGCCTCATGCTTTAAAGTGGGTGGAGAACGTACAGTCACATACACTGAGGTTCAAAAGTCTCAGACCAGATGGTCACATTAGGTATTCTAAATTAAATTAATTTGATATTGTAAATAATTAAGAAATATTTAAAACGCTTGATTATTTTTAGATCACTAATTAAATAAGCAAATTTAATGAGTGCTGCTGATGAATAACACAATTATCAGGATTTGCACATTTTTGTGGTTCATGCAGCTCTAGTCCTGCTGTTCTTAAAGGGATACTCCACTTTTTTTTGGAAATAGGCTCATTTTATAACTCGCCCAGAGTTAAAATGTCGAGTTTTACCGTTTTCGAATCCATTCAGCTGATTTTCTGATATTTAGAAGAATATCAGTAACCATACAGTTTCTGGTCCCATTGACTTCCATAGTATATTTTTTTTTCCTACTATGGAAGTCAATGAGACCAGAAACTGTTGGGTTACTGATATTTTTCTAAATATCAAAAAATTGGCTGAATGGATTCAAAAACAGTAAAACTCGACAGTTTAACTCTGGGTGAGTTATAAAATGAGCCTATTTCCAAAAAAAGTGGAGTATCCCTTTAAAGGCGCAGTGTGTTATTTCTTAGGCCCCGTCCACACTACTGCGTTTTCGTTTAAAAACGGAGAATTAAAACGAATACGATCTCCGTCCACACCGTTTTATCTGAGTATCTCCGTCCACATTAAAACAACTGAAAACGCGGATCACCAACACTGGGCAGTTTGATTTCTAACATTATTCTCACAACTGACATTTACATCGATAGTCTGGCCTGGCGTTATAATTTATCTGCTTTTGGTGTACTGTGGAGTGGGTAAAATCCATTTTTAATGGCAGGCTAGCAGGTACCGTTGACTCGCGCTAGCCTAGCACCGGTGAACTATGCAACTGGAAGGACTGGATGAAACGTTTTGATAACTCCTTCCACTGATAGATAACACCCAGGCTAACTTGGAAATGAGGTCCGAACCAACCCTTGAAGACAAAAGCTCTTTCCTAATCATAACCCTTCATTTTCCAGTGATATTCTTATGAGCTTTTATCTTTTGTAATGTCTCTCAGCCATCCCTCTTTCTACAGTCTTTCTTCAAATCTCCATCTTGCTTGTTCTCTGGCTACAAGTTTATTGTTGTGTCTGTCTGGCCAACTTTCAAACAGTGTTACACTACACTACTCGTGTAACTGTATTTAAATAGTGAAAACGTGGAGGTGTTTGGTCGCTTCTCTGCTTGGCCCATATTGAATGAACTGGGCTAAGCTAAGTGTCTCACGCGCCAGAGCGATTGCGCGTATGCACTGAGACAAGAGAGGTATGCATCAACTCGTCTTAGTTAAAGGAATAACATAGTTTAATATGAAAAAAAAAACGGGCAATTCTGATGGTCCTTCGATAGACCTCGATTACCTGCTGCTATAGCTCCTATGAGGGGCCCGATGGTGACAGCCCAGGGGTAGTTCCAGGCCCCAATGACCAGCACAACTCCCAGGGGCTCAGGCTGGATGTAGACCTGGTCTGAGATGGTCATCATGCTCTTGCTCACGGGTCGAGGAGCTGCCCAATCTTTCAGCTTTGTCACAACCAGGTTAATCTCACTCTCCAGGATCAGAGTCTCATACAAAGGAGTTCCAAACTCACTCTGTCGTCAAATATATAAAGCACATATCACATAAGCAAACAGAGTTTAGAAGAGGACACAATACACAAGGACAAGTGGATGGATCACCAACCCTTCCGAGATCCTTTTTGAGGCCCTCTGCGATTTCATTCTGTCGTTCTCTGACAAAACGCAGCAGGTTTTTCAGCTGTGTAATGCGGTACTCCAGTGATTTGCTCCGGCCGGTGAGGAAGGCCTTCCTGGCACGCTCCACTGCTTTCTGCTCTCGAGACATACTGTGAAAGGGGAAGTCATTCATTTCACTCGGGTTACAATTCTGTCACATTTAGGTAAACTTCACACAATGATTTCATGTCAAGTCATCTTAATTTATATAGCGCTTAAAACAATATTGTTTCAAAGCAGCTTTACATTGATAATTAAAGAAACAGAGATTGTTTGGGCTTTACAGCAGCTCCTGAATAAAGTTATTGTGTGGCTAAAGTTAGTTTTGATTGATCATATATTATAAGTAAGGGCCAAGTATAACATCTATAATGGTTTGACATCTTATAGCCCTTGAAAAGTGAATGATGGAACAAACAAATCTTTCCAAAACTGTTGCATAATATCATACATCAATCAGATGACTCTTCTTCCTACGACACAGTGGTCTCTTTAAAATGTTTTCAAAATCATCCTATAACATCGATTCTATTTTAATGATTTAACTTCTGTCATTTCTACTTAGTTTTCAGAGTTTGATGAGCAGTTTAATTCAAAGTGGCTGAAAAAGTGCAATGAGCATATTGCTGCAGGTTATAACTTTGACACCACTTTGATTAATAACTGTTATTATTAGTTATTTTGATCATTTAATTATCTAAATTACATATATAATAAATAATAAGAATAAAATACTACTAAGATAATAACAATAATGATTTTTATTATTACCAGTAGTATTTATAACAAGTATGTAATTATAAATAGCTGAGGTAACGAATTAAGTAATCGAATAACAAAATAACCAATACTGTCATAAAAATGGACAGTAGTTAATAGAAAATAATAACTGTAACGTTTTGTAGGTGACAGGCTTGAGTTTAGTCTGACAGGAAAGCGCCGAAGAAGTTATGTAATACACACATAGCGGGAAATGAGACTGACATGCTAATGTGTGTGTGCATGCAAAAACACAATGAAATCAAGCATTTATCAAGCATAACTCCTTTCTGAATAATACATTACATGTCTATATGCGCGTTATGTCTCATTGTCGTACGCAGTTGCAATTACAAGTTTATAACAGGGTGGAATATCAGGATAAGAAACGGGATGCCGGGTTCAGTTTTCTTGTAGCCTACAGTATACACGACATCGCTGTGGTCGAAGCCTAATAGAAAGAACATCGATTAATACGCTTTCGAGAAGGACAACGAAAAGCCTTACGTTTCAGTACATTACCTTAGGTTATTTCACACAGCGCGTCCAGTCCTTTCGCTGTAACTGTTAAATGTTATGTGGCGATCAGATAAAGCCTCCTCCGGATCAGATAGTTCAGTCAAGCTGAACGATGGTAAACATTAAACAACACCACAGTTCCGTTAACAGTCGAGGCTCGAGCGGAGGGGGCGGAGTCTCGAGAGCGGGCGTGGCCACGACGCTTAGCAGCCAGCCCTGAGGCAGTGTATTTGTACAAGTACAACAAACACACTCACAAAGGATTGACAAAGGATCAGAGCTGCATTTGGGTTATTGCGTTTTCATGCTTCCACTTTGCCCTAACTCCTGTAATGCTTAATTAGTGAGCTCTTGACATGCTTTTTACTTCTCTGAATGCTTTTAAAACATGTAAATAGCCTACTTTATGTGATTTATTCTTGGCCAATTGTAAAAAAGGTCAGATTTTGTCAGTTAAATATTGCACAGAAACAGATGAGACTGTACTCTCCCAGTGGTCACAAATGTGACTATTTGACCTGTGAGCATTCATGCATGTTAATTGGTCACTCATGTCAGTCTTTCTTAAAGAAGTAGTTCACTTTTGCTGATAATTCACTCACCCGCATGTCATCCAAGATGTCCATGTCATTCTTTCTTCAGTCGAAAAGAAATTAAGGTTTTTGATGAAAACATTCCAGCATTTTTCTCCATATAATGGACTTTAGTGGGAACCAAATGGTTAAAGGCCCAAAAGACAGTTTCAGTGCAAACTGCAAACTGTTTAAAGGGCTTTAAATGATTCCAGACGATGAGTCTTATCAAGCGAAACGATCGCTCATTTACAAAAAAACAAAAACAAAGTTTAAGTTTATAAGCTCAAATGCTCGCCTTGCTCTGTTCTGTGATGCGCGTTCGTGACTCTCCTGTTCAAACTCGTTCATCAAAATGAACAAATCTGTTTTTTGTGTCATTTTGTTCGTTAAATGAACCAAATGACTCGGAAAAAGATTCTAGAGTTTTTGTGTGTCATACATTTTTTTAAGAAGCTAAATTATAATTATAGAATTCAACTAATAAACTGCTTTTCAGATTGCAACAGCAGCTGTGAAAACAGTTCCTCGTCCACGAGGATCTGTGCCTAATCCATCATAGCTCCTGCTCTTTCAGGTGGATCTCTGTGGCACAATTTTGGCTTTGTATCAAAAATTCTTCTCAGTAGCACTATACCTCTAAAGTATGAAAACTGGCTGAACTCCTTGAAATATTTCCCCAAACTCACAGACTAAACGGCAGATGTCTCCACATCAAACAAAGAGCCGGCCTCAGGTGTTTGCGGACCATGAAGGGAGAGGAACGCAGCTGCCATGACACGTCATTTGCACCATTGTGACACTACTGTTGCCCTGGGCACTGGAAAAGACAGAAGATCCATTGGAAGGAAAATATATGAATGCAAACACACACGTTCCCACATACCAGGCATATACTGTATGGACTCAAGCACTGGGTATATATATAGACAAATAACTTTTGTACAAGGACATCAAACCATAATGTATATAGAACCAGTTGTGATATAGTTAATTAGGAAGTATGTTAAGCGAAGTGATGTAACATTGCTATCAGCATTCCTCGTGTTATCTGAGACTATACCCATACAGAACAAGCCTCTAATAAAAGTGAGTTATAGTTTTTATTAGAGGATATCTTATCATGCACTGCTTGAAACTTGTATAATTGTATATGTGCAATTCATGCATTAGTTCTTAAAAGCACATTCTAAAAAACTGTAATTACATATATAATATTAATGAGATAAAAAAGCCCCTTAAAGCACAACTCCGGCGCAAAATGAACCTTTGGTCTAATTACACATTGCTACCTAGTCAACCGTTATCTGAGATTAGTTTTCATGATTTGTTTTCATGATTGCCGAATGTAAATAGTTTTATCTCTAAAAACAGTTTAGCCTATAACGCTAGTATAACGCTAGTATGTTGGGCATAGAGTAATGACACATAAAAATCGCTTGTTATTACCACTAACAAGGCTCAAAATAGCCCCACAGGAACACGGTAGCATAATAAGGGTCCCTACATTCAAATCGAAGCATTGAAAACGTTGTCAGTGTCCATACAGTTTAATAAGAAGATATTTGTACACACAGTCATATTAATATTACCAAGTGGCAGCATATATATTGAGAATAGCAGAGGGCCTAAAACCGATCCTTGCGGTACTCCATAGTCTACTGACATTATCTTTGATTTTTTTCCCATTTAAACAGACAAAATGATAACGGTCCGATAAGTACGATCTAAACCAGCTTAATGCCTGTCCCTGAACACCAGTGTAGTTTTGTTAAATAGTTTTTAACAAAAGTTTTGTTTTGTTAAAATCCGCGAAATATCAAAACTGTTATTGAGTCATGAAATGTAATTTTAAGAGTGTTTCTGGCGAGAATGTGGTTGTTTAAATCTCAAATCTCTAGTTTATTTATAAAAATAGCGCCTATCTGAAAAATACATCTGACGTTTTCGGAGTTCTGACATCCAAGCCTTCAGCGGACACTCAGCGAGATCAACCCCGACTGGAACAGCTTATCCTCGGCTAGTGCTTCTGACATTTGCCGCCGGCTCTGATCGCTCTAGTCTAGTGGATAAACCTTGACGTATAATAATTCGTCTTGTGTATAAGTCTATCTTTGGTCTCATTGAACTATAGTTTGTTCCATGGCAAAAAAAAAAAAAAAATAGTTTTTGAGGTTTCATAACTTTGTCTATTTAACTTTAACAACATTTTTATATATTATCATCACTATATGAGCAATAAAATAAAATGACATAACCCTGTCTCTGTTTGATAAATGTCAATAAAAATCAATGTTTCATATTTTTAAAATGAAAACAAAAAGATCATGTTCATTTTGTTTTAAATATATGCAGTGAAGAGAATCGCGTTGCCTGAACCACATGGCCATTAGGCTAATATTTAGTTTTTTTGTTAATGAAAAGAGGCAGAGTGGTGTTTTATAACATATTTCGTTTTATTGTTGACGAAAAGATGCAGAGTTGTAGCAAATTTTGTTTTATTGTTGCCTAAAATATAGGCTAAATAAAGAGATCAGAGCGTGCTGCTGAGTGACGCGATCAAGTACGCTCTGTTCCATTTGCGTCCTCTGTCCTCGGGAGTTCCTTCTCCTGAGTCGAACTTGGCAAGTCTGAACTACAAAGGACGCAAGTCCGAAGTCTGCGTACTTGGTATTGAGAAACGGCTTGTGTGTATAAAATATATTTTTATTAAACTGTATGGACACTGACAAAGTTCTCAATGCTTCGGTCTCAATGTAGGGACCCTTATTATGCTGTCGTGTGGGGCTATTTTGAGCCTTGTTAGTGGTAATAACAAGCGATTTTTATGTCTCATTACTCTATGCCCTATTTACTAGCGTTATAGGCTAAACTGTTTTTAGAGATAAAACTATTTACATTCGGCAATCATGAAAACAAATCTCAGATAATGGTTGACTAGGTAACAATGTGTAATTAGACCAAAGGTTCATTTTGCGCCGGAGTTGTCCTTTAAGTATAAAAGGAATATGTTTCTTGCAAGGAAGTGCACTTATTTGTATCTGTTGAACATAATTGATTATAATGTTAGCTGTGTGTTATTTGACATTATATTTAACATTATAATCATGTAAGGAGTAGTTCACTTTAAAAAAAAACTTTTGCTTATAATTTACTCACCCCCATGTCATCCAAGATGTCCACGTCTTTCTTTCTTCAGTCGAAAAGAAATTAAGGTTTTTGATTAAAACATTCCAGGATTTTTCTCCATATAATGGACTTCAATGGGAACCAAACGGTTCAAGTTCCAAATGAGAGTTTCAGTCCAGCTTCAAAGGGCTTTAAATGACACCAGGCTTATCTAGGACCCTCTGAGTCATGACTCGAAAAAAAGTGTTAATTTTGATGAACGAGTTCGAACAGGGGGGTCACGAACGCTCATCACAGAACAGAGCAAGGCAAGCATTTGTGCTTATAAAACTAAAACCTTTTTATTTATTTTTGAAATGGCCGATCGTTTCGCTAGATAAGATCCTTATTCATCGTCTGTTGCTGCATTTCAAGACATTTCAACTTAAATTTGTTTAAACTACATTACTTAAAAAATCTAGCTGAATCTCATATCTTATTCAATTTGAAACTGCTCAAATTATGTTGATGATTTACAATAATGTGATTACATAAGTTGCCATAACTTAATGATCATGTGGAAATTTGCACACATTTTCACTTCGCCTGAACGTACTAAGTTTGAATGTTATCAATGTACAACATTTCGCAATTCCAACACTTCACTTCAGTGTTTCAATAAACTCTTATGTTGTTGGGCAACTGGTATCAGTGAATGAATATGCTCAGAAGTGCATGTCTTTTTCATTTTAACTGTCTTTGCTGTTGACCTTCGATGATCCAATTCAATTGCCTAGAAATCTAGACCACCAATTATTTCAACAGCAAAAAATTATTTCGCAAAAATGTGACATCTTGGTGACACCTAACATCTTGATGCAGGTCTGGCATGCCAGGCTACCAATTCAACAATATACACTCTTAGAAGAAAAGGTTCTATCAACGCTGCGTATTTGGAACCCCTAAAAGGTTCTATACACTATTAAAAAAGGGTTCCTCTGGGTTCTATATAGAACCCTGGGGTTCCATACTTGGTCAATAGAACCTTTTACCAAAAAAACAAAACAAAAAAAGGTTCTATATAGAACCATTTTGGAGTTCCATATATGAAGCGGGGGATGGAACCATTTCTGGTTCTAAATAGAACCATTTCTTCTAAGAGAGTATGATAATGCAAAACTGACTCAAGATAAACATCACATTTGTGTTTCCTTTGTTTTTATAGCTAAAGAACAAGCAAGCAAGCTCAGTCGAAATGAAAAACCTATCATACTATAAGTAGTTTAGTTAGTTAGCTACTTTTTAGGGAATAATGCAATTTTGTAATGCATTACATTTCAAAGTCACTTTCCCCAACACTGCTCATTGCTGAATACTACTGTATATTTGTATGTGGCAATACTTGTCTCTGTGAGTGAAACACTCATGTTTGCCACTAGAGGATGCACTTACCATTGGGAAAGAGAGAAAAAGAGATGACGG